ATCTATGGGGCAGCGCCACATCCTCCCCCCATCGCCAGGTCAGATCATAGAATCATAGAATCTCAGGGTTGGAAGGGATCTCAGGAGGTATCTAGTCCAACCCCCTGCTCAAAGCAGGACCAATTCCCAACTAAATCATCCCAGCCAGGGCTTTGTCAAGCCGGGCCTTAAAAACCTCTAAGGATGGAGATTCCACCACCTCCCTAGGGAACCCATTCCAGTGCTTCACCACCCTCCTAGTGAAATAGTATTTCCAAATATCCAACCTAAACCTCCCACACTGCAACTTGAGACCATTACTCCTTGTTCTGTCATCTGGTACCATTGAGAACAGCCTAGCTCCATTAATGGCCCACACTTTGCATAATTATAATAGGACTCAGAGTTAACTTCATATTTCTATACAAGAAATGATAAGAGTGGTACATTTATACAAATCGGATGATCACACTCAGTAGATTATAAACTTTGTAATGATACCTTACAAGAGACCTTTTGCATGAAATATATTCCAGTTACATTATATTCACACTCCAAGCATATTTCCATCAAGCATATGGAGTGCAACGTCACAGGGGGGATAAGTGGTTTGTCAGCAGCACTGCTGACAAGGCTCTGGGAGTTGTGGTGGATCACAACCTCAACATGAGTCAGCAATGCGATGCTGTGGCAAAAAAAGCAAATGCTATTTCAGGTTGCACTAACAGAGTCATAGCATGCAAATCACAGGAGGTGATAGTCAGGGCTGCCGAGAGCGGGCTCGGGCCCCGGTAAAAAAATTTTTCGGGCCCCCCAGCAAGGGTGGACCAGCTAAACAGGGCTGACGAGAGGGGGGGGGAGAAGCCAGGCCCCGGGCCCCCTTCTGGACTGCCAGGCCCCGGTAATTTGTACTGGCTTCCCCCCCCTCTCATCGGCCCCGGTGATAGTGCCGCTCCACTTGGCGCTGGTTAGGCCTCAGCTGGAGAACAGTGTCCAGTTTTGGTCACCAATGGAAAGGATGTAGAAACTGGAAAGGATCCAGAGGCGAGTGACAAAGATGATCAGAGAGCTGGAATGCAGCCATACAAGCAAAGGCTGAAGGACCTGGGTATGGTTAGTTTGGAAAAGAGGAGATGGGAGGGGGGCATGTCGGGGTCTTCAGATACTTGACAGGCTGCCATCAAAATGGAGAAAAGTTGTTCTCTCTGGCCCCAGAGGGCAGGACAAGAGGCGATGGGGTCAAACTGCAGCATGGCAGGTTTAGATTAAATCTCAGGATAATCTTCCTAACTGTAAGAACAGTGGGCCAATGGGACAGAGCAGAGGCCTGGGGAGGCTGTGGAAGCTCCTTCACTGGAGGTTTTCAGAAGGAGGCTGGAGAGCGAACTGTCTTGGCTGGTTTAGAGACAACAAATCCTGCATGTGCGGGCATTAGACTAGCTGACCCTTGCGGGCGCTCTGTGGGTCTATGTTTCCATGAACCTAGTGTTAACTTAGGTAGCACTGCCTGGGCTCAGGGAAACAGGGTTCGCACTCAGCAAATTGGCAAAGCTCGTTAGGTAGATTTCTACTTTAACATCTAACTGGCACCTCGGCAAATTCATAAAAATGCCCCCCTTGGACTCTTACCTTCTCCCCTCCCTGGGTCATGCACACACTGCTGGGGCAGGGCCCCCACTTCACACACACACACATTGCTGGGGCAAGGCCCACATTACACACCCGCACACTGCATGGGTGGGGCCCACACTACACACACACTGCGCGGGTGAGGCCCACACTACACACACACACTGCA